TTTTACTATTACAGAATTGGGGAACTAATAAACTATGAATTACAAAAATCTGAAATATTTAAAAATTTGTATTTTCAATTATTCAAATGATGAGTCTTTTTGTCTCTTCTATATGCCTGTGTTATAAAAGTATACTATCCCGTTAAAGGTTAAATCTTATATTAATAATATCGATATAAAATAATAAATAATAAAATTTGTTATATTATTTGTAAAATAATTATTTGAAATAATCTGATATTTTATTTGAAATAAAGCCCTAGTTTCCCTGATTCGTTTTACCAAGTAACGACTTGCTAATCTGACGAAATACAGAAAAAGTCGGTTTACTAGAATAGTAGACCACTGTAATAGTGGCCGTGTTGACACGCCCTCGTAATGAGGTAATTATTCTCATCTTATGTACCTGCCATAAAGGCGTTGAATCGATACAATCTGTATGGTACGAGCGAAGCCGAGTATAGCATTATTTCGCGAACTCGTTTCTCAAATTCCAGAAACAACCGTATAACGTTACTCCCACGCCCTAACAAAACCCCATTTCTCATTATAATCAAAACTATAAATTTTAATAGAAAGATCCTTACTTCGACGTTGAAGCATCGTTATTTTATAATTTTGTTCCAATTTTAGCAATTCTTGTCTTCCTTGTAAAATCTTAAGTTCTACACTTCATAAGAAGAATGTTTCAAGAATCTGAAGAATCTGTTTCCCTTAACTTTCTTTTATCCAATATCAATCTGAACAATTTCCTCTTAGAGACCGACATTTTGCTGATTATTTCCCGATGCATTATACCTTTACAGAACTATGAATAGTATCAATACCACCTCCACTGCTCTCCAACTTATTTTATTTATTGTCTTATCCTTGTGTATAATATTGAAAAATAAAAATAAATTGTACTTTGATCGCTAAGGTATACAATTTTATCAGCACAATAATTTCTTCCTTTGTTCATTCGAAATTGTCATTTCTTATTTTGTTTTCTTTTTCTTTACTCTAACAAACCGCGGATACGAAAGTCTCATTGTGTTAACAAAACAATTGTTAATTTTCGTGTCAACAAGGAGGCTCGATGATCAATTTATCTGAATTTTTGCATATCATATTAAATGTAAATATTCAGTGCAGTTTGGCGATTACGGTATTAGAATACGATGTCACGCCGCATCAATTGAATTTCCCCCTGAATTCATAACTTACTTAAAGCGTATATGTGACCCGACAGGGATAGCATCCAAGTAATTGTTCCATGCACAATAAAGGAACCACGATCTTTTGAGAGGAACGATCCATCGGAAACTACCATGGACGTTGACGATGATCGATTCGCGGGACGTATAAGTAAGAAGGTTGCAGAAGACGCCCGGAGGTAGAGCAGATGAAGGACGAGATGCTCGTTCTTTGTACGAGAGAGCCATGACCGTGGTAGGTATATAAGGTGTATCGAGCAACAAGGACTAACGGCCTCTAATTAATAAAGTTACGCGAACAACTCTCAAAGTCGTCCTACTCCTCTACAGCCTTCTACCCGGGGTATCAGCTATTTCCCTCGCTTTATAAATTCTGTTATTCTCCTCCCTCGTGTCTTCCTTCTGTATCGCTTCGTCATTCTTTCGCGAAGGCCAGCGTGCAAACTTCTGTCCCTTTATTGGATGAAAATTGCACTTTAACCTAAAGGTTTACTTCTATCACCGTTAATTATGCTCGATTATTTTGTAACGATTCCCAGAAATGTCTCTATTATACGATAGCATCTCACTTCCTCGATGTTTGGAAACATGTAACTGATAATTATTTTTTTTTATTAAACATTTGAAACCACAGAGGTTTATATGTTTTACAATGGTGAGAAAGAATAGCACAACGAAGTTCTTAAGTTCGTTGAGGAGATGGAAAATAATTTTACAAGCCTTTATATTGGGCTTGTAAATAAATAGATCGATGCTTATTGGAAATTGGATGCCTAAAGCTATCAGAGAGTTGGTTAATTGAACTCTCTGCGCGTGGTATAGATCATATTGCCACAAAGTGTAAATTAAACCTTCAAAATCGTTACTATATTTACGTTTCCAAGGCGAGGTAAACAAGAAGCCAAATAATAACGATTAGCCCTGATTCTGTTGAAACTAACGATAAAATCTCACTTTAAACTTTTACGAGAATACCAGGAATTGGAAATATCTCTAACCCTTAAATAGACCATGCGCTATCACGATATTTGTATCGTAGATTTTAATGACCAAACTTTGTATTATTTTATGAAACGGAATTAAAAAGAATTGGCGAAGCAACGCGCTGCGTTTCGATCCAAAATGGCTCTCAATGTTTCTCAAGAAGCCTCGGAATAATTTCCCAGCGATTCGAAAAGTTCGACGCATCAATCCATCCTAATTTACCGATGCTCCCGAACAATGATGGAGAGATAAATTCACGCGATGCCGTTAGTCCCACCCACCGTTCCGTACGTCCGGTTCCCCGGGCGTTGATAATTGATAACTCGCACGAGAACACGATACATACGTCTTTTCTTCTCATCGGCGAGCCGGCGCCAACGCGGAGAGGGTCGTATCGTTTCGTGGAATATCGTGCTGATTCTGGTGTAGCGTCGTAGCGCCACAAGAGGAAACACCACCCGCGGACTGCCAGACTTTAAGAATTAAAGGAAGTTCTCGCTGGCAACGGCAGCGCGTCGCGTTCGCTGCGTGTCTCGACAAAGACGCTAGCCCCGAGAGAAACTCGCCGGGCGAGTTATGGCTCGCTAAAGAAAATTGACTTGAATCCTGGCCAGGATAATAAAAGCGCGTCGCTATGAGGAAACGCGGGCGAGAAGAATGAAGGAAGCAATACGACGCTCCAGGACGATACCGTGAACAAGAAGCTACTTGCAAACGTTGAGACATCGAAGAGGAAACTGTACCGCGGTATAGTTATCGGGCTTCGTTAGAGATGACGATATGGATAGATATCAATTAAGTGTTATTATGTCCTTTATACCGATATACCACCTGTCGATAAGATCGTGGTACTGGTTAGACGGATACATGCGATCTGATAGCGAGGATCACGCGACAGTTCTGTGTGATTCACCTACAAGCATATTGTATCCCTAACGCTGAACATGACAACGTCAAAGTGAACCGACAGCCAACCCAGATAGTGTATTCGTATACACTGTTTTTTTATACTTCGTTTGCAGCGCGACTTTAACGTTAGGACTAGGGACTTGCACCCGGTAAATATCGATCGCATGCACCATGATAATCCTTATAGAAATCGAAACATCGAAATACCGGTATTTTATCTATATTTTACAAGGATCGAAAACCACTATATCGAAGGCGATATAAAGGTGAATTACGTTGCATACATAATACAAAAGACAATCGAGGATAGTTTATAAATATAATCTACGTAAAATGTAAATATTATATCGGTAAGAAAATATACCGTAAAAGCTGGATCGGCTTTCAATTCAGATATTTTCGACCTCGGTGCTATAAATATCTGGATACTATACAGGGTATTCCAGTATCAATGGTACAACCGTAAAGGGGGTGATTCTACATGAAGAAATAAAATTCGTTTTCGAGGTAATCGACTTTGAAAATTCATTGTGTGTGCGTACAATAAAGTACAACTTGGGCTTGAGCACAAGTAGAAATAGTTATTAATGGACAGACACGTCATGGAAAATAGTATTCGATCGCATGCGTATCTAAGTAGTATAAATATACAATTATAATTAATACGTATAATTATGTATAACTTTTTTGACAACATAAAAACTGTAAAAATATTCATTTTCCTTGCGTAATAAGGATTTTATAAATAACCAGTTATTTTAACTGGTCTGGTAGAAACAGGCATACATTAAATCTCGGTAGTTCTCTATTATATGAACTCAACGGTAAACAAGCAGTTCTTATAACCGGGCAGGTTCATATAATAGAACTCCATCGATTATCCACACTACTTTAAACTTTTCGTTTGTATGACCGGAGTTCGGAGTTCTTGTTCAGCTAGGTGGATTTAATCATACCTATAGCTCATTCATAGCAATATTAAAATATTTACGAACTTGAAAATATTAATAATACGAAGTGGAAGAACTCGTCATAACACTGCAAAGAGAAAAACCGCTGACAATTTCGAATTTTTATTTGAAGTTAAAGAAATTTATCAACTGACACGTTGATAAAACGTGTATAACAATCCATAACGTTTTATGTAGGAACAAGATTTGCGTGCGCGATATTCGTAATAGTTTCTGTACATTCTGGCATTAAAGTTGTTTTTATTAACTATACTACGGGGCAGGGCCGGTTAATGTAATAGCATGTGGGCAGAGTAAATCATATAAGCAGTGAATTGTTATTTCATTTATAGTTCGTCAGGTCCGATTTTACGTTTAACCGAATGGCTTGAATTGTACCACTGATGTGTAAATCAGCGAACTGGAATTCTGGTAACTCGATGATAAACGACTCTGTCCTAGCTATTGAGACACGCACATTATTTTTTAACTGTCACGATCAGCAATGATGGATTATAGGATTGTTGCATGCGAGATATTCCTCTAATCGTTGCACGACAATGTATAGAACAATTGGTTTCGTTGTTAAATGTTAAAAATCGTCGACTTTTTACGTTGCCCAGGAATTCTTCCATAACGAATTCAATCACAGCATTGAAAACAAAAAGTATTCGTTTTGTCTGGAAATGATGGAAGAGTTAGTTAAAGAAAAATCTTAAGAAAAAACAAATACCAAACGAATTATAATCGGATGTTCAAACGTATTTTTCATAACTTTTCGCATAGTTTCCGGCCAAAATGGATATTTTGCAGCTGAGGATGCTACGAAATAATTTCCAAGCAAGGCAGAAGATGGAGGATTTTCAACATGGTCCTTTCCATGCTTCTTTCGGTCCTGTTACGATAATAACATTGACCGATCGAGACAGAGGAGGATAAGAAAATCGTGGTATTATTTTACCTTGTTGGGGGTCGTTGATTGCTGCTGCGGCGAACAGCTGGTGCTATGTATGGTCGGCTGGTTGGTCGTAGCCGACACGATACCTTGGTGATTCAGGTGGCTCAGCTGATTGAGCTGGGTAAGTTGTTGCGGCTGCTGAACCGGATTCTGGGTAGTGGCCTGCAGCTGTTGATGATGCGTCTGATGCGCAGGGTGGGTCGTCTGATGATGCGTCGCGGGGAAGGTGGGCACCGTGAACGGGACGAACAGCATCGGGCTGCCGAGGATGTGCGCACCACCTCCACCCAATGCCCCCGTCTCCTCCCTACACCTTTTTCGTGCGTTTTTGGTTTTGGATAATTCTTTTTATTCCGTCAACCGTGTTTGTTACTTCGGCGTGCTACTACGTATAGTCTTATTATATTGTACTGCCGATGTCGAGGACCAACAAAGTAGAAGCGGATGTAGCAGTAGTAAAAGTAGTAGTAATGGAAGTACAATAGTAGTAGTAGTAGTGGTATTACTATACGTGTCGAAGCGAAGCTAGAATGTATGTTTAGTGATTTGTTGTTACCTGCACTCCTGCCCCAGCTCCTGGTGCTGGGGGTGGGCGTAGGGGGCGGCTCGGACGGAGGTGGTGGACGCCACCCTCGCTACCCTCAGCGATAGGCCGCCTCGCTGACTGGTTAACTGGACCGAAGCTGGTTGGTGATTGCTATGCACACAGCAACAGGCACGACAGCCAATCGGTTGTTGCTGATTCGGGATTGACTGGGGGTGATGAGTTATGGGGCCCCTGGGCCCCGTGGAGGAGGGAGAACACGGGTACACCCCAACCAGGCAACCCACCACCGCAGCCCCGGGGCCCGGCGCACTCGGAACCAAGGCGCCTCTGGACGAGGCCACCCCAACCTCGCTGGCCCTCCTGCAACCACTGCACCACTGCACCCACCCTCCTAAATGGGATCTCTGATACGACCCACTGACTCCGATCGTTGACCCGGACTGGAACACTTCCACCTGGGCCTCTTTCAAATCGCGACCTCTTGCGGGCGGGATCTTGCTACTTTGCAGCTTTCCTCGTGGCAAACAACTTGGAGCACTCTTTTCTAACCACCGTTGATCCTCGAGTCACGCACCTTCTCCTTTCTCGCGCGATATTTACTCGCTTCACTCCGACTTCTATACTCTCTCGCGATTAATTTCGATCGTTTCGCGTCGACTTGTCGACCGCTCACTTAATTTTCAATCCCGTCGACGCGCGTGCCTTCCTCCGAACGTATAATTGCGATTACGATAACCTTCGCGTATTTAGACGGTTTATCGGTGTTTCGAGGTTCGTGTACGATACAGGATCGCTTTCTATCGAAAACTCTCGACTTCGATGCACAGTCATAACCACGTGGTCGACTTGAGTAACTCCAGTACGTCGATCCTTCGGCTCGCTGCTGCAAATACAAACAGCGAATCTATTCTTTGACGCGACACGTTCACTCGTATTCCTTAACAAAAACTTTCCTCGATTCGACCGAACGATCGTGTTGCGGCACGAGCCGGTATCAAAGACGCGACGCTGGGTTCGTTCAACAAGTTCACAATTGATTGCACGTTTATTCCTCGTGTTGGTTGTATTCGTCGAACAGCTTCTCTCAAACTACTCGTACATATTTTTATCCAGCGATCGTAAAAAGCTTGCACACTTTTACTGTCGATGGGTACTTGGAAACACTGTTTTTTACTTTCACCAATTACGCTCGATGTTATTACACGTTTAACGGCGTTGTATCGCGGCACGGTTCCGGGCAAATCACTAAATCATCGCGACAACACTTTCTCAAAAGATTCGCTAACTGTCAGAATTGCATTTTTATATTTTCCCCAGCTCGGTCTAACTTTATTTATTCCTTCTACCTCCGTGAAACGGTCTGCGTCATCGCGCTACGACGAGCTTCCTAGTCACGAGATACGACCGGTGTGTCTATCGTGTTATTTTCCCGTTTCGCCGCGTCGAACTCGATTAGGCAGGATGTCCTCGCGATTCTGTAAACGAGGACAAAGTAGAAACGGGTGGAAAAAGAGGGAACCTAACCCGTAATGTTGGAAGGTCGCTCGTCGACTGACTAGCACTTCCGTTCAGGCTGTTGTGCGATTCAGAGTGGGGGATGCTTCGTTGGGTTGTTGTGTGTAGGCGCTGGTGGCGGTGGGTAGACTCGTTGGTTGGTTGGTCGAGGTGGTTGTGTGTGCACAGCTCGTGCTGTGCGCGGGAAACCAAGGGGTTTCGGGGTTCTACAAGCAGTACGGCCCGGCAAAATACCGACCAGTTTCACGTGGCTCGCACTGCCTTGAGTTCGACTACTTTCGTCGAGCCTTTCCGCGTGACTCGCGGAGATTCGCTCTTCTTGGGGCGTCGATATCTCTTCTCGGCGTCGTTCTTCTTCTATTCCGGTATTCCAAGTTCGCTGATCGTTTATTCGTTGTGTTTCCCAACGTAGTGTCAACAGCGAAATAAGCCACAGCGGAGGTGTTTGCGTTGTAAGAAAGAGAAACTAGATAGTGATCACAGTGAAGAGAGTAACTTGTTTCGATTATTCCTCTTGTAACATCTAACTTGTGAAAAAGACAGGGGCCACTGATTTATCGGTGTTTCAAAACAATTACCCCGAATCGGTATACACTTTGTCAACGGAATAAAATTGCTCGAATCCGGTGTTCCGCGAGAGAAACGTCGAGCCGACGGACGGGGTAGCACGAATCTTACGGATCGGTTGATTCTTCGTGGCGCACGTGCTCCGGTTCCTCGGTTGTCAGAACCAAGTAAACACTCAAACAACGCACTCGAGACACCACTCACAATCGTCGTACTCCCGTATCACGCACTCCAGGATCGACACTCGCGCGTAGAACGGACGTCGGCCGAGAAATGATCCCGCTGGATCAAGATCACACCGGGAATACAACGTAAAAACGAATTGGATCGTAAACGTGCTTCTCCGTACGCGTGCGTCACCGTGCGCGTTGTTGTGTTTACGCCTTGCGACTGTGTGGGTGGTTGTGGTCGGCGCGAAGACGAAGATAACTGAACCTTTGACGCGAACACCGAAGCGACGGGGTCTCGAAGGGGGAGAGGCGGGGGGTGAAAAGTAGGAAAAGATGAACAAGTGGAGGAGGAATGAAAGGACGATGCTGCCTAGTGGCCTAGTGAGCAACGAGCTATGGATTTGGTGGAGCGCTGTGACCTGCACGTAGGTAGGTAGCGTGGAGACAAGAACCGTGTATCGCAATGTATCGCGGTGGTGGCGACGACGGCGGCGGCAGCGGCGGCGGTGGTAACTGGAGGGGTGGTCCGCCGGGCTGGAGGGGCGAGTGGGTGGTAGGTGGAGGGAGCCTGGTTCGTTCCTTCGTTTCCTCCAAGTGGTGGAAGAGAGGGTAGATCGGACGTTTGGGAGACCGAGGGCGCGCAAAGCGCCCTGCTGCGGGGGTTGGAAACGGCTGCTCGTGGTACTGCTTTCAGTATTGTCTTACCTCCAGCACGTTTTCATTATAACTTTTTTTTCAACAGTTTTTTTAATAGAAATTTGCGGGAAATTATCGGCCGCCTATTGTGCATTAGGAACTGTTCAACGGGTTTCAATCTGTGTCCAAACGAATCGAACGTCTAATTAGTGATTTAAATCCCCCATGGCGTGCCTATGTTAAATTCCACCGCGATTAACGCGTTCGTTAACAGACCAGAGTAGCAACATTTTTTATGAATCGTTTTATTCTTCGACAATTGAAACGGAATTTTTTTAATTCATGAATCCCATTCAGATTTATTTCCTTCAATATCTCGGCTTGAGAATTTATATTTTTAATTCGATAGTGAAAAATCCAGGTATATGGTGAGTCAAAGTATTGAATATGTTTGCGCGAAACGATTAGACAACGAACAATCGCGGAGTTTTAGTCGATATCTTTTTATAACATGACTGACAGAAATTGGTATGGAAATTTTAGTTTCACTTTTCGACCTATAAGATAGAAAAATATTTTAAAACCACATAATTACTTATTTTTTCTTTAATTTAGTTGTTACTAATTTCAACGAATCTTTACACGTTGTACATGTTTTTTGACTTAAAATGTACTTGAATTTTGATAGAAATTACCTTTCGTAATCATTTGGTTTTCCTACTAAACATTAGAGAGAGAGAGGATTAAATTTGACTCTCGATACTCGAAATTCTACATCTATTAAAAACTAAAGAGCTATATAACTTACGACTCGAATTATTTTCATCGCTTTCAGTGACTTAAAGCAATTATACCATTATTATTTCTCCGATGGATGAAACAGTTTTGAGTGATTACTATATTTCAATTCACTAATCGAAACTAATATGACACTATAATCGTGTGAAGTGAAATTGTGCAAAATTCTACGAAAGGCACAGAATTAATTGCACAATTATGCCTTCGATTCTAAAGGCACCGAAAGCGTTATATATTAATTTTTTCAACGGAGGGTGCAGGAAATTGAAGAAAAAAATTCTGTCCTTTACCCTTCGATGGAGCAAATTAATTTGTTCCTCCTCGTCTTCGTTAGTTGACTACGAGGCGGGAATAACCAAAGGCCTGCGGTTACCGAGGCATCGATCGACGCCCGTCATTTTTGTCCACTTTGTCGCGTGTGTTAATTAAAAATTGCTCGCGGTCACTGTCCTGGAAGAAATCACGCACGTCCCTGTAATTAAATCCTCGATGAATTCTCGTCAATCGACCATCAACCAATCATCAACGCCCATCCATTCGACGGCACACATACACTCTGTGATTTGAACATTTCGTATTTTCAATAGTGTCGCGGAACAAGTACGTAGTAGTATTTATTAATTATGCCCCACCTCGACAATTGTTAAATTGATGCTTTCAGTAGAACTGCCATTGACTTCTCCTAATACTCGTACACCCATTTGTCCTCCGTTAGTTAAACTATAATTCCGCAACGATAGAGGAAAAGCAACACGCATGGAATACTATTGGTAATTTCGAATACTCAAGTATCTTGAAAAATATTATTATAATTCGAATAATAAAAGTGAACGACCTATTGTAATTTTAACATTCTCAATGTGATCTAAAAAATAGGAAACCGTTAACCTTCTGCCATACGATTTATTTTCGTTACCATTTAACTTGAATGCAGGGTACATTTCTTATAAATATATCCAACATATTTCGATCGTAATTAAATTCCCTAAATTATCCCCAAAGGTGGTATCCAAAAACTTTAAATATTTTGGTAGGTTTGATTCGTATAGAGAAGATTTTCATTCGAGGGTCTAATTCGCGAAACTTTTTCATCGAGTATTCGATCGCTTAAATCGTGGCTAAAATACATGAAAAACTCTACAGCAGGGATAATCGATGAGTTCGTATAATACGAATCTACCCGGTTATAAGAACTGCTTGTTCCCCCGTTGGGTTCCGACAAATGGAGTTCCAGTGTAACTTTTCGAACCGCGAGCTCCGCAGGGTTAAGGAAACGAGACCGCCGTAGGGAGTATATTCGGACGTTTCGATAGTTTTCGCAAGAGAAACCGCAACCAGTAGGCACGGCCAGCACTTTGTGTCCGGTAAATTTCGTATTTTCACGGCTAATGACTGAGGAACGAGACGGTAATGTATTCTATGCGGAGCATCTACTATGCGCTTCCCATTAGCATTT